TTTATTATACTTGAATTTGGTGTTGGATTTTCTCCATGTCAACAAAAACAAAAACAAAACCATCAAAAACAAGGGCCTACATTCTAGGAAATCATTCGGTCTCTTGTAAATAGTTGATTTTGAAATCGCAAGCCATACAAAGAATAAGTGTCTCAGTGTAGCATATTTCAACCAAACATCTCGGTACCATTTTTTTGGTGGTTGTTCTGTTCTGATTTTATTGGGATATCGTATTTTCACATTCATATCCCACCACACTTCTAGCAATTACGAGTAATTAGTTTCCTTAGTTTCTGATACATATTTTATACAATTATTTTTGTATTTACCAATCGTCAATCTTTTTCCGTTATTTATTCTAAGATCGTAGAAACGAAATGTCACGAAACTATAAATTAAAATATTTTAAGAAATTTTATGAAAACTCATGAGTATGCTACATCGTACACAACCGTTGGTTCATATACTATGTTTGATCACACCACCTTAAGAATCACATAATTTCCCATTGGAAAATGGACCGAAGACTACAAGGTTTATCTGAAAACTGGTAGTATCAAGGTAGCTTTTCACATAAATCCTTTTTCTTCTTTCTTCAGAAATTCATTTTTGTCTTTGTTTTTTTCCAGGATATCGAAGATATAAGCGATGAGTTCAGCGTTGATTTGATAGTCAAAATGCCTAAGATAGGCTCTCAAAGAAAGAAAGTGCATGGTTTTGTGACTAAACAATTCAAATTCAGATCGATGATACCCACAACGAATATGAATCTCTTCAATTTTGCGAGTACGGTGGAGAAGTATAAAGATCCACTTGAAAGTAAGAATAGTTTCATTGGTTTTTCCTTATATGCGTTATATATTATATGAGTTTACATGTTATATTCATGCAGTAATTCAGAAATTTTACAACTTCATGCTGGAGTTTTATCGGATGAGATTGGTATAATGTTATATATAAGTCCATATGGTAACTGATGTAGTCAAATAGCTAAAGAAATCAACGATCTTCATACACTTGGAGCAGGAGGTGATGATGTGGATAATATGAATAAGAAGAGAAGGCGTATGAGTGAAAGGAAAAAGAAGAAATGGTACACTGAAACTTTAAACCACCAACTTGATGAGAAATCAGTAAGTATTTCTTGAGCTCTGTATGTAAAGTTTAATTTTGAACATTAACTATAACGTTGACGTATGTATATAGGGCCGTATGGAAGAATTCAAATCAGAAGATGATAGGTTGGTGGAAATCGGACAAGGTTTGGAATGCAACGCTCGAGAATTTATCTGAGATTCTAAGTGAACACTTATTCTAAAGGAAGCAAAAGTTTGTTCAGTTCTCATGATATGTTTTTAATTTGTTTATTTCATGATTTTACTTAATGTTTCTTTCTATTGCAGAAATTATATGAGGCGGATATGAAACTTGAAGTGG